GAAATAGAAGAAGTCAGTCATATCAAGTTCTTGGGTATAACGATTGACAATAAACTCACTTGGAAGCCTCATACTGAAGAATTATGCAAACGACTTAGCCAATCAGCATATGCACTCTCCCAGTTGTCAAAAAAAGTAAATATTGAGACCTTATTAACAGCGTATCATGGACTAGTTTGTTCAGTTTTACGATATGGGCTTGTTTTTTGGGGGCAGTCCGTTAATAGAGATCTAGTTTTCAAAATGCAAAAGCGCTGCATAAGGGCAATGTGTAATATTAAAATAACTGATAGTTGTGTACCTTTTTTCAAATCCCTAAAACTACTCACACTGCCATCATTGTACATTCTGGAAACAGCGCTATTTGTAAAAACTAATTTACATCTGTTTGTTAAATTATCAGACGTCAGAAAAACTCCTATGCGTACTAAATACTTAAATCAATTATGTCACACAAAATGTAAAACGGCTTTAATGTCTAGAAGTTTCTTTGGTATTGCTCCTAGAATCTATAATAAAATACCAGATCAAATAAAACAATTACCTGTCCACAAATTTAAGAAAACTTTGCAAAAAAATTTAATTGACAAATGTTATTACACAGTTGACGATTTCTTAAATGATTAAATTCCTGCCTACAATGTTATTTTTATTATTTTCAGTATTTACTAACAGTATTATTTTTTTAATTGTGACATTTTTTAATTATGACATTTTTTAATTATGACATTTTTTAATTATGACATTTTGTTAAATTGTAACATGTTTATTTCTTATTGTAAGCCACAAAAGTATCTTAACTTAAACTGCAAAATATATTTGTATGTCTTAGCATAGACAGAACATAGCGCACTGTAATCTACCTTTAAGATCTGTATTTTTGTTACCTATGTTTTACAAATAATAAATGATTGATTGATTAATTAAAAAAAAAAAAAAAAATACTGAGTATTAAAAACAACATTTATACTTTCTCTGATAAAAGGCGTGATATTATATAAACTTTGTGTTATCGAACCTGAGACTCCTTTCCCAGCAGTCGCACTTGCAACCCTTCGGCCAACGAGGCAATCAGAGTGTTTCATTCTCTAACAACAATTGCTCGTAGCTAACTGACTTGTAAAAAGGGGTAAGATTTTTAATTATTTTTTTATTCATTTTATTACCACAACTTACCTGAGACTATAGAACAGTTGCGTACAGATCCAATACAGATTGCTCCCAAACGAGGTCAGTATATAAATACCAAACTGACCATTAATTAACCTCACCAGATGAACGATCTTCAAGTATTGAGAGCGAAATACTTGGCAGGGAAAATGTTCCTAGAAGAAAAAGTATAAAGTATAATAAGTTAAACTCTATATCAATGTATTTAGGGTATTTTTTTGAATACTGGCTATTATGTTCTTAATCAACACACCAATTTTAAGCTAAGGTGACGTGATGTGATCGTGACAAAACAAAAAAGTGAAGCAACAATGCAGCCGTATGTATCGTTTTAGGGACATGTGTAACTTTTTTAGATTCTGCACAGATTAATAAGTTATGAAATTCTATTATATAGTGCCATGTCCTGCATGAGCAATCTAGAGGTAGAAGCAAACGCGAAGCGGTGCGCCGCGCGAAAAAAGCAAACTGTCGAAACCTATTGAAGTAAATTATTATGTTTTCGGCTTACTCACGTAATAATTTGACGAGGAACTCGACTGAATATGAAGACTATATACTCGAATATGAGCCTCTAGCATGGCTTAAAAGTAGTCGAGTTCCTCGTCAAATTATTACGTGAGTAAGCCGAAAACATAATAATTTATTTAGTATGTCTCACGAAAGTTACAATACAAACCTATTGAAGTATTGCGCACGCGATCAATTAGTTTAATGTTTTCGCGGGAACTGTCATATTTGGTTGCGATGCTTCCTAACGCTATGTCCTACACGGGCGATCTAGAAGCGAAAGCGATTATGAGGCGGCGACACGCGAATTCAATGCCATGCGGTGCGACGTGGCAGTTATGTCCTACGTGCATGCAAATCGTTTCGATTCGCTTTGGTTTCCGTTATTATAACCAAACAATAATATGACAGCACCGCATTCAAATATGACAGTTCGTCCGAGTCATTTCGCGACGCGCCGCTCCACATCGCATTCCACGGGTGTGTTGTTCTTTAGCTTTCGACAGTTTTTTGTTTTTGCACCACACCATACAGTGCCCTTAGCCAAACGCCACTTTATCGCTTGTCTACAGAGAGACTAGAAATCAAAATGTATGGGGATGACATTGACAAGTGTCAAAATTTACGTCAATTCCATATAATTTGGTTTTCTATCCTACATGTAGACAAGCGCTAAATGGCACTTGGCTACAGCTGCAGCTTCGCATTCCCTTCTAGACCGCCTACACAGGACGTAGCGTCATTGCATTCGCTTATAGATCGCTCGTACCTGATTTTTATAAAATGGTACCAATATATTTAGTTAGAAACGTAATAATATGATGAGCAAATAAAACGTTCTAGTAATCCTTTTTAAATCTAGGTCGTTGACCTTAGTAGCCGTAGCCTTAGTAGTGTTACAAAATCAGTGACGTCACTAAAGTTTAAAATGGGAATAACTACGCATTTAAATAATAACAATTACTTTGGTTCACTGACTCAGATAATTCGTTTCAGTTGTTCATTTTCGCTGAAATTATTTCAGTCCCTAAGACGTAGATAGCGAGAATCACTTCATTTTATTAATTTCACTGTTATTGCTAATTTTAATTGTTTCCTCAAATCGCTGGCTTGATGATATCGTTGGAATAAATGCGACGCTTATGATAACAGTGATTTTCATTACTTTTGTGACTGTTTTTTTTACATATTTTATTACGAAAAGTTGTTAGTAGCATGTAGTTTGGACTGGGTCTGTGCATATCTCACTCTCTTTCTCTCTCTTTCACACACAAGCACACGTAGACACACACACAAAATTCTCATTTTAATTCGTGGGAAATATATGACCTATATGTTTTTAAAAAGGCAATATACTTTCTGCTATTTTTACTTTTTCATTCACAAAATGTTATTGTAGTCGTATTACATAAAAAAACAAAAATTTTGCTCATTGCAAGACGTAGGAAGCGCAGCCGGCGCGGCGTGTCCGTTGGCAACACGCCATCTACAAAGTTGTGTCTTGATTATTAGTTTTGCGATAAACGAAATTGTATTAAACAAAGTAACATTTTCTTCAATAACGAGGAATTTACTTCATTTCGCTTCATTCATCAAGTGTGGGAAAGCCATACTTCGGTACGAATGGGCCGGCTCGACCGGGGTGATACCACGGCCTCACAAAAAACCGACGTGAAACAACGCTTGCGTTGTGTTTCGTCGTGTGAGTGAGGTTACCGGAGGCCCAATTATAATTACTCCCCAGTCTCCCCAATTCCCGAATCCTATACAGTCCTCAAATTCCCAATTCGAAAAAGGCCGGTAACACACTTGTAACGCCTCGGTGTTTCAGGTATCCATGGGCGACGCGCCTATCACCTTCAGTTGATCCGTCTGCTCGTTTACCGGCTGATCCCATAAAAAATTGAGATCCCATAACACAAAACCAAAAAATTCCGAGTATAAAATTAAATAATACTTCGTCCAATTTAGGTAGAAAACCAAAGACGCACCTCTCACTTAAACAACTTTACAACTCGAAAATGTCACTAAAAAGTTTCTCATAATATTAGCATTGGTATTCTACACTTTACCTGCTCCACAGCTTTCTTCAGGAGCTCGTTATGTACCAGTAAATGTTCCGTCAAGTATATGCTTATGATCATAATAAGCAGGTCATTGTAACTCCATACGAATGTCGACTGTATGTTGAAAATCTGCAAGTACACTGAATATTAGTTTCATTGTCTCAAAAAAATGCAATATTTTTCATGAATAGATAGTTTTATTATTCAACTCGTTGTGGCCCGGAGATTTAAGACTCCCGGTTCTCATGCATGAGGGCGCGGCTTCGAAACCTACTAAGAGCAAGTACCAATGTGACTATTTGAGAGTTACATGTACTTTCAAGATTATTTAGACACCACTGATGTATTGGTGAAGGAAAATATCGTGAGAAAACCTGGGCTTATAATTTCTAATTATAAGATTGAAACCGCCAACGTGCATTGAGCAAGCGTAATGATTAATGATCAAACTTAAATCTACTTATTTATCACCCTTATGGATCATTATATGACTGCACTACAATAAGTAATTCATAATACAGTCAATAATCCTGTGCTATATCAATTACGTGTATATCAATTACGAAGTCGTGGTGGCTCGGAGGTTTAAGACGCCTGCTTCTCATGCATGAGGGTGCGGGTTCGAAACCTATCAACGGCAAGTACCAATGTGACTTTTTCCGAGTTATATGTGCTTTCTAAGAGTATTTAGACACCACTGACAAACGGTGAAGGAAAAACATCGTGAGGAAACCTGGGCTTATAATTTCTAATTATAAGTTTGAAATCGCCAACCCGCATTGAGCAAGCGTGGTGATTAATGCTCTAACCTTCTCCGTGTGAGAAGAGGCTTTGCTCAGCAGTGGGCATTTATAAGCTGTTGATGATGATATCAATTACCGGTTTTTAAATAAAAAATAAATAAACCCTGGTTACATGTCTTAATAAACTTCATTTTTATCCGGTAGCAGTGGCTCAAACACGGTCATATATCGCGAAGCCATTGCAACCGGACCGCGCCCTATTTTCCTGACCTCACTCGAATACCGATATCAAAATGACACGACACCGTCGAACAATAAACCTCGTATGCCTTCCGTAAAAATTTGATATTTTTATTATGAATCCGGTATTATAGTCGTAATTCAAAAATTGGTTCGATGTGAGCTGATGTGTGCTGTTGCAGTTTGAGTTGTATTTAAAATTGAAACCTTCTTTATAAAAGCATTATTTTAGACAAAGGTATCTTTATTTATCTATGCACACTGTTATTCATCATCTTATCTTATTTAAACTAAATAGTTGTACCTCAATAAGAGCTCCTTTCCACGCAGCATAAGGTGTATAATCAAAAATCCACGGCATGCTGAACCGAAAATAAGTCTCACCAACATTATTAATGTCGCAGGCACACGCCACTTTTAATCCATAGTATACTGACAAAAGATGTTCCACTACAACAAAATATTTTATAAAAATGTACCTTAAGGCTATAAAGATAAGTCATATAGTAACACCAACGAAATAAAGCATTCAAACAGCTTTATATAAGCCTACAAAAGCGAAATGAAAACGCTACGCAATTTCGTAGCACCGTAGCAGTTTGCTACAGCGTAGTAATACGCGTAGCGTTGAAATATGCCTAGGGCTATTACTATATTTTTGTGACCTGTTTTGGTAGATGGAAAATTATGATTTAGTGGTACTGAAAAGACTCAACGCAACAGATTGGAAAGAGAAAATTGGTGTTTTTCATTCCTCACACTCTTCTTTTTGAGAGAAATGGTAATCAAATGTCTGTTCTCACTCCGATTTAGATTTTAACTGGCTAAAACTACTTCGTTCTAACTCCTGGGTCAAGCCGGAGGCCCATATACCATTACAATTGTCAGCAGCCCCGGTATTCCTCACATTATTATATAGTTTGTTAATTTGGTCTGAATACTTTTTTAAATGTCTTTTATGTATTGTAGCCAGTCTATTAACAGCCTATAGGCCAAAAATTTCACAAATCTTCATAAGTTCATACTTTAACCTCTCTATCTACTAAATAATTATTCTCTCAAAATCTTAATACAAGAGTAATGAAAACTCATTACAATGTTCCCCACAAACTGTGTGGTGGTAGGCACAGGTGTTGCCTCCACATAGGTCTAATTAGACGGATGAGACATGTGAGAATCAACGAGTACGCTCTGTGTACATTCCAGTATTAATTACATTTGGTTCAGTTTAATCATATCTTGTATATTGTAATTATATTTACGTTTACATATGTGCGTTTAATAGGTTATGGTTTAAAGTAAATTTGTGAATCATTTTATTGTTGTTGTGTTTCTAAGACCACATTCTATTATTGGTTTAATAAAGTAACAGATGTTTTTATATAGAGCTAGCTTTTATCTGTGACTTTGCTCGTCTAAATTTCTCGTGAAAGAAAGCCTGTGTCCCTCACCTCTCCCCTCCTTTTCTGTTACCTCTTAACGCATTCTCTAGTCGACTAATCTTCTTTAACCCGTCGAGCGTCCGCGTTCCTTATGATCCAACGTGTGCACACGTGACATTTGGAGCATTTCTTCTTATGATCCACCGGGTGCTCATAAGGACGCTCGAGGGGTTAAATTTAGCATACACCACTTTTTATAAGTAAATGCCTGCGCAAACGTGTGCAGTTTCGTGGCTAGAAGCTATTTTTATTCATACGTACATATATACATACCTACAGCAGCAGTGAAAATAAATATCGTAGTAATATTGCTCATAACCCCGACGTTCCTCGTGAACGGAGGTAGTTTGCACTCGATGGACTCCACCTTCGCTACTAGTGCAGGCCAGCACCGACCGATGTGCATCAGTATCAAAACTGATACTAAACTAGATGTGTTGAATATGGAATTCGCTGTAATAGAAAAATGGTTGTATTATTTCGACTATTTCTAAGGTTCTGTGGTTGGAAGTATGACTATGGACCTAAAGGTCTTAAGGGCGATCTCTTCGGATAAAGTATTAGCTGATATTTTCGTTGCTTTGAAAATTTTCGAGAGTCTGAGATAGTATGTTGTATTGTATGTAATATGGCTCACCCCCTATTATATTCTGGAATTCATAACTGATGAAAAATTGAGTGTTATGTATAATGTAAGTATATAACTAAAGCTACTCTCTTTACTCCTTCACAGGGATTAAAACAAGCATTTTACTAATACATTTAAGGGTGCGTCAACATTTGATGAAAGTGTCATGAAAGCGCAGCTCGGGAGCCGCCGCAAAAAAAATTATATAAACTATATTGTATGAATTCGCGGAGCATTCGACAGATGTGGACGCACCCTAACACTACCTCATTCTCATATTCTGATAACCCTATTACACAATACTAATCATCCATAACAGAATTACTATTTTTAAAAGAAATATATCCCCAACTCACTCATATTCGCCAAGGAGATACCGTTCAGCACAACCCAGCAGAAAGTCATGATGAACATCAATACCTGCCCAAAGAGACTGATCGCGTAGAACATCGTGTACGGAGAGCGGAGCGTGAACCTGTTACAGTAATAGCAACCTTAACGACACACATTACTTATATCGAAAACACCAATTTTGTTTGAAAGTATGTCTTATTTATTTTTGTATGTCTGGATGGGAATTGGTTATTGTACTCTGTATGTATTTTGTTTAGTTTTGTTTTGGATTCATATTGTAACAAATAATTTTGTATTAGCCTGTAGCCTAAGGACCTATGTATTAGCCATCAGACCACGACACATAGGGCCTAATAGGGTTGATGCCCGATACGGAGCCGCGAAAGGCCTAACGGGGTGGTTTTTAGTCAGTAAGAATCTGACACTCCCACTCGCCTCACCCAAGGCGGAAGAAGTCATCAGATGATTTCCTTCCTCAAAAAAAAGGAACTTATATGTTGGAGTCTTGTAGATGTCCATTTTCTAGACAGTTTCAATTTCTGAACGTCTGTTTCTTTTTCTAGATTTTCACGTAAACTTTTTAATATATAAGTACCTAAGTCATTTGGCTAAGAAAATATAATTTTAAAAAACTGAACCTAAAGGTAGATGAACTGAAGAAAAGTATGTAGATATCTACAAAATTTTACTAAATAAAACCCCTACAATCAAAACCACTTTCAAACACCTAGCGTACTACTAGACAGGTATCAGTATACATTGAATTTTGTATATAGAGTTTAAAATCCCTTCGTAATCCTAAGCCGAGGTAACCACAAAGATTTCCACCTACATTTTACTGCTGAGTACCTCACTAAAGGATCTAAGAGCTATCCAAATCTGATTACATCAAACAAACTAGATTACCATGTGTTGGTACCTCCTACCAACCTCATTCATTCTTAATTTATTTAATCCTAGCCGGTATAGGATGTGGGATGGGTCTCGGCGCAGGTCAAGCTGCTCGAGACCCGGCCTCTGAAGTGCTACCGCTGTCACGTGGGGGAGCACGTGAGTGTCAAATGCACCTCGGAGGTGGACCGCAGCGACTGTTGCTTCCGCTGCGGTCGGCCCGGTCACAAGGCCGGCTCGTGCTCCGCCCCGCTGCACTGCAATGCATGTGCGGCGGCTGGCAAGCCGGCCAATCACCGGGTCGGGAGCAAAGGCTGCTCCCCTCCCGCCAAACCCAAGGGCAAAGGCAGGCCCTCCGCCGCCCCTGCCGTTTCCGCCGCCGCCGCCACTGCCACCGCAGTCGCCGCTGCCGCCACTGAGGAGATCGGAATGGACTGCCAATAATGGCCCCATTCCGCCTCCTCCAGGCGAACATCAACCACTGCGCCGCTGCTCAGGATCTCCTGCTCCAGAGCATGGCGCAGTGGTCGATCAATGTCGCCGTGGTCTCCGAGCCGTACTTTGTCCTGCCCAGGGATCACTGGGTGGCGGACCTGGACGGCTCGGTGACCATCATCTCGTCGGCCGCCGCCGGTACCCCGACTCTTGAGGCTGCTCAAAGAGGCCGGGGGTGTGTCGCAGCACGGTTCGGAGAGCTCGCTGTGGTGGGCGTGTACTTCTCTCCGAACCGAACTCTCGCCGAGTTCCACAACTCCTTGAGGGAGTTGGTCACTGTCGTCGTCGGGTTCCGTTCCCTCCCCGTGCTCGTCCTCGGGGACTTCAACGCCAAAAACTTGGCTTGGGGTTCCCGGTTCACCGACGTCCGGGGTAGGATGGTGGAAGACTGGGCCCTTGAGACAGGCCTAGTCGTCCTGAACCGGGGTTCTGTCCCCACGTGTGTGCGGATGCAGGGCGAGTCGGTGGTGGACATCTCGTTCGCCAGCCCTGCTCTGTCACCGCGTATTGTTGGCTGGCGCGTCATGGAGGAGGTGGAGACGTACTCCGACCACCGGTATATCCGGTTCGACGTCTCCGCCGAGTCCGCAGACCCGCCGGTCAGACAGGCCCCATGTGGCCCGCGTTGGGCGCTGAAACAGCTGGACCGGGAGCTGCTCCTGGAAGCCGCCATCGTGCAGGCCTGGGTGATACCACCGGTCAGGCCTGCCGACGTTGACGATGAGGCCAAGTGGCTCCAGGACGCCATGTCCAGGATCTGTGACGTGGCGATGCCCCGGATCCGGTCGAGGCAACAGAAGCGCCAGGTGTACTGGTGGTCGCAAGAGCTGGCGGCTCTGCGCAAGGCGTGCACTACTGCGCGACGCCAGTACACTAGGCACCGCAGGCGCCGTATCCGTCCTCCTAATGCGGAGGCGAGAGAGGCGGAGTTATACGAGGGATACAGGGCGGCGAAGGCCCTCCTCAAGGCGGAGATATTGCGGGCCAAGGAGGAGGCCCGCCGAGAGATGCTGGGGACTCTGAATAGAGACCCGTGGGGACGCCCGTACCTGATGGTACGTGACAAGCTCCGTGCTTGGGCTCCCCCGCTCACTCAGAGTCTCCGGCCAGAAGTCTTGGAGGAGGTGATTGGCGCCCTGTTCCTCCGACTGTGGAGGGGCTTCACCCCTCCGTATATGACTCCGCCCCCTGCGGTGCCCGACGCGGGCTACAGCGACGACGACGATGACATCGTCCCAGAGGTGACCGAGGCAGAATTGAGAGCGGCGGTGCGCCGGATGGGCGCCAAGAACACCGCCCCAGGACCCGACGGCCTGCATGGCAAGGCATGGGTCCTGGCCTCAGAGGCTCTCGGGCCTCGATTGATTGGTCTCTACAGCGCATGTCTGGAGAGAGGCCAGTTCCCGCTTCTCTGGAAAGCGGGCAAACTGGTCCTCGTGCGGAAGACGGGGCGCCCTGCGGACTCTCCGTCCGCGTACCGGCCCATAGTGCTGCTCGACGAGGTGGGGAAAGTCTTCGAAAGAATCATTTCGAACCGCCTCGTCGCGCACCTGACGGACATTGGGCCGGACTTGTCGGACGGCCAGTTCGGCTTCCGCAGAGGGCGCTCCACGGTGGACGCCATCATGCGCGTTAGAGACCTCACGACGGGGACTGCAGTGTCCAGGGGTAAGGTCGTAGTGGCGGTGTCTCTGGACATCGCCAACGCCTTCAACTCCCTGCCCTGGAGCTGCATCTTGGAGGCACTCCGATATCATCGGGTGCCTACCTACCTCCGTCGTGTAATCGAGGCTTACCTGACGGACAGGTCCGTCAGCTACCCCGGTCACCGGGGCGAGTGGAACCGGCGAGAGATGTCACGCGGTGTTCCACAGGGTTCGGTTCTGGGGCCGCTCCTGTGGAACATCGGCTATGACTGGGTGCTGCGCACCGACCTCCCGAACGGCGTTAGCACAATATGCTACGCCGACGACACGCTGGTGCTGGCGCACGGGAGGTCGCACCAGGCGGCGGCCGACTTAATGGCGACAGCGGTTGCGACAGTCGTTGAAAGAATCCGGCAGTTGGGACTCGAGGTGGCGCTCCACAAGTCCGAGGCCATGTGTTTTCATGGCCGCGGGAACGCGCCACCTCCGGGTGGGTCCCAAATAACGGCGGGAGGGGTTACCATCGGCGTCGAGACGGCGATGAAGTACCTAGGACTCGTCCTCGACAGTCGGTGGAACTTCATAGAGCATTTCCGACGTTTGGCTCCAAAGTTGGAGAGGACGGGGGCTGCGTTCAAACGCATCCTCCCCAACCTCGGGGGGCCAAACGCCTCCTGCCGGAGGTTATACGCCGGGGTCGTGCGGTCCATGGCCCTCTACGGCGCCCCTGTTTGGGCGCCGAACTTGTTGCGGCGTCCTGCTCGGACGCTGCTCAAGTCACAGAGGGTCATGGCGATCCGAATGATCCGCGGATACCGCACGATCGCTGGGGAGTCGGCGAACCTCCTTGCCGGATTACCGCCGTGGGATCTGGAGGCGAAGGTGCTCGCGCGCGTGTATAACATGCGCGCGGAGGCACGTCGCCGGGGCGAAACTCCGCTGCCGCGCCAGATAAGTGCGTGGCGGGATGAGCTCCGGCGCGATCTCATGGCGGAATGGCAGCAACGACTGTCGCAACCGAGGGCTGGGCTCGCTGCCATTGCAGCGGTAAGTCCCCTCTTTGAGGAGTGGCTTGAGAGACGCTACGGCGTCCTCACCTACCGCCTGACGCAGGTCCTCACCGGACATGGAAGTTTCGGGAGGTACCTGTGTCTGATGGGGCGGGAGGAAACGCCCGGGTGTCATCACTGCGAGGACCGCCTTGAGGACACGGTGGAACACACCGTAGCGGAATGCCCTGCGTGGGCTGAGCACCGCCGTGCCCTCAGGGAAGTGATCGGCGATGGCGACCTCTCGCGTCCGGGCCTAGTGCAGGCCATGATGCGGAGCGAGGGGGACTGGGATGCCGTCTCCTCCTTTTGCGAAGCAGTCATGCTAGCTAAGGAGGAGGCGGGACGCGTGAGGCAGCGAAGCGCTGCCTCCTCGCAACCCAGCCATCGCGAAGGACACACCGGGCGTCGGGGATCGCGGGACGATCTCCGGCCACCGTAAGCGCGGGCCTGCGGACGGCGAGCATGGGTGGCTCCCCGTCCGACCAGAAACAGACCCGAGCGTACGGCGCGTCGCGTTCCGCGCGCGCCTCAAAGAGCCATCAGACCACCACAGATGGGGCCCAATAGGGCCGATGCCGATTCGGAGTCGCGGAGAACCTAACGGGTAACCGGGGCTCCGGCTCGACGTGCAGGAGAAGGAACGGGGTGGTTTTTAGTCAGTAAGAGTCTGACACTCCCTTCCGCCTCACCCAGGCGGGAGCAGTCATTCGATGATTTTCCCCCCTTAAAAAAAAAAAAAAAGCCGGTATAGGATGAAACTAAGGATTAGACGTGGTTTTGGTCTGTTTTTAAATATTGTTTCTAAACGAGGGAACTTCATCTTATTCTTTATCATTATTGAAGCTTACAAATGTAGACATAATTATTATAAAGTTGCAGGGATTACTATTATATGTGAACGCATCTAGGATTCAGGAGAAAATTTTGGTGTAAGCGGCTACGAAAACGATTAATTCTTTTTAAGTGTGGGAGAGCCATGCTTCGGCACGAATCGGCCGGCTCGACCGGAGTGATACCACGGCCTCACAGAAAATCGACGTGAAGCAACGCTTGCGTTGTATTTCGTCGTGTGAGTGAGGTTACCGGAGGACCAATTACCCTCCCCTTACCCAATCTCCCCAATCCCTGAGTCCCCAACGATCCTCAAACTCCTAATCCTCAAAAGGCCGGTAACGCACTTGTAACCGCCGCTGGTGTTTCAGGTGTCCATGGGCGGCGCCGATTGCTTACCATCAGGTGATCCGTCAGCTCGTTTACTGGCTCATTAAATAAAAAAAAATCTAATTATTCTTCGGTTATAGAAAAATAGGTATTGTATTTAATCCTACTAAACGGTAAATAAAAAGACACAACACAAAGCAAGCAAACGTAGTTAAAAAAAGAAGCAAAATTCTCGAGTGGAATCGGGGGTAATAACTAGTCACTCATGAGACTTAATTAGACGGCTCACAGGTACTCAAGCCCCACATGACAACTTATAGTAAATCCGCTAGATGGCGACACGTAGCTAGCGTTATTAAAGTCGTACGTCTTCGACTGTGGTTGACTGCGTTATCGTTATGTCTAAGTGTGTGTGAAACTGTATATTTTGGTTGAGATGATAAAAGTAAATTGGTGAGGTGGGAATTGAATATTTATAAAGAATGTTTAATTTGTTGAATATAATAACATATTGTGTTAATAAAGTAGTCACTAATACATTGATTTATGGGATAAGCCTGTATACGAGCAGATGGATCACTTGATGGTAAGCAATCGGCGTCGCCCAGGGACACCTGAAACATCGAAGCGTTACAAGTGCTCCCGGCCTTTTGGACACCCAGAATACCAGAGGCGGAATACAAGCGCGTTATCGGCCTTTTGGGAATTGTTTGGGATTGAGGGATTGGAGAGATTGGGAAGAACAGGCTCCTGGCGGTTCCGGCAACCTCTCACACGATGAAACAACGCAAGCGTTATTTCATGTCGGTTTTCTGCTTGGCCGAAGTATCACTCCGGTCGAGCCGGCCCATTCATGCCGAAGCATGGCGCGAACACATGCTAAACACTAGCTTACAAGATTTTTTCTTATTTAAATGTGAGATTTTCAAAATCCTCAATATGGTGTTTGGACTCCTGTCCATCGTTAGATGAAAGGTTATATCGATATCTAATACACTAATACAATGTGGGCCATTGTCAACACTGGTTGACAAATATTTTGTACTAAAACAAATTATTACTTTTACTTTAGATCCTGCTTTGCCACCTTTGACACCTTTCGTTGGCTAAGCTAAAGGTGTTAAACAACCTTTGTAACTTAATATGCTCTTCAGAGAAGTACGATATTAAATAACACCGTATCACCAACATGTTTAAGTTGTAAATAATATCCTTACCTTAATTTATGACTAGTGGGACAAGTAAGCCCACTGAGTGGTAATAGTCCCATCACTCGACTGCAGAGCAACGTCCCACGGACGGTCCCGTGAAACCCACACATCTCTCGTTTGTTAAATCGTCTATTCTCCATGTTCAGAGTATTTAGGAACAGCTTTGAAGCCATTTTTAGCCTAAAATACAATTTTGGAATAATTAGGACTGTAATTACGGTATACTGTACTTGTGATCTATCGTTAAATTAATTAATAGGAAGGTTGAACTTAGAAGTATGCTGATTAAGTCAATATTTAGATAAAGAGCGAAAATCACGATATGAAGGGTTACAGAAAAAAACTAAAATTTTAATCTTATTCACAGGAATGAAATAGTTTAAAATCTTCATAATTTAGTTACATACTTATTGAGAGAAAAATGTGTAGTGAAATACAACAACTAACACAAAATCGCCGCAAAAAAAGAACTATATAAACTCTAATCTACTTACTCAAACTTCGGTTACATAAAAATCGCCACTTTCGTCAACAAACGTAAAAGACTGCCACCCAAGCGTAAAATGTTTACCGACACCAAACTCCACAGTTTGAATATTTAAACGCTAACGTAAACAAACATGGCGGAACGCATTGTCACTGTGACAGCCCGCGCGCGGGAAAATCGTTTTCATTGAAAACATTGAATATGCCACAATGTCAAGCACTGTTGTGGTTTTAGTGATTTCGATAAACTATTCATAGGTATGTAAAATTGTTTGTTTTGCTTCGGAATGTAGTTTGGAAAATACTATAATCATGTTAAAAGTAATTTAAGTGTGGAGTTGTTACAAAGTTAAATTGATCGTCGTTTGACCGCCTTGAAAACTTTTGCTTGACTGATTGATCGACAATAATATTAGGTATTATATAGTCTGCTTCGATGAAGAAAAAAACGTTTAAGCATTTATGTATTTCAAATATTTGACTAAACGTTTTTTTGGTCAAGTTGTCCCCAAGTTAGAAAAAATTGGGGATTTTTTTAAATTTGAAAGTATGCTTGGTGAATGGAAATAATGTTACTTTTACAAGACGAGACACATTACAAAATATTATTCGTACACCTCTACCTACCCCATCGAGGATTACAGGGCGTGTATGGCGATATGAGCATATAATAAAAATAAATATTCATATTTTAATTATTGTTGCTAAGAACACTTTACTTGACTTTACTTTTCTATACTAAAATCGATTTTACTCAATATTTTAATTAGAAACTTTGAGAGCTTTTTATGTAAACCGTTGCTAATTGAATAGTTTGTAAGTTTTTAATTTTAATTGTTAGAAACTTGATACAAAGGCTTTTAAATTGATTTTTATTACAAACCTTTTTGAAGTGGCTAAATACCTTCACCTAAATTTTTGAATTTATTAACTACGAACTTTGATTAAAACGTAGATATTTTAATAAACGAAATGATTTTAAACGTTTTGTTTTCTATTGTTCAAATGAATTGAACCCAAGACACCTTAATGCGCTGCGCGACGTCGCCGCGACCGCGCACGCTGCTCATGAGGAAGAACCCCTCTGTGGTTCGAAACTAGTAGAGCTTTTCAGTATATTCACGTGAGTAACCCGCGTTTTTACTTAATTTAGTATGTCTCACGATAGTTATTATAAAAACCAAGACACCTTATTCAGCTGTCCGATTGCAACCCAAAATGTACTTCCATTCTTAATTTAAAACTGTTCCTAATTTGAACAGCTTGACATCGGCGTAATCTGCAGTAAAGCTGAGGATTAGTATTCTGTGACCCGTCACCCGTCACAAATAAAATGGCGGGCGGTTTGTTAAACACGACCAGGAAGACGCAATGGTGTAGAGTAGATATATTACCGACTGGTACAAAGATCTAAAAGGAACTTCTAGGTAGGTATATTGATTATTGATTTTCGTAGACGCTTGCTGTGTAAAGAACAAAGTTGAAAATATTATCACAAACATCTAGCTAAGTACGTCTATCGAAATCATATATACTTTTTTTTTAAGGGGGGAAAGTCATCGAATGACTTCTCCCGCCTGGGTGAGGCGGAAGGGAGTGTCAGACTCTTACTGACTAAAAACCACCCCTTTCCTTCTCCTGCTCGTCGAGCCGGAGCCCCGGTTACCCGTTAGGTTCCGCGACTCCGAATCGGCATCGGCCCTATTGGGCCCCATCTGTAAATCATATATACTTACTGAGTTATCATCAGTTTTTAACTTTTGAATTTCAGTGTGTACATAAAATCATAGTTTGCAAATGACCTCCGTTAATGGCAATGTGATCAACCTCTTTTAAAAATACTCAAGGACTTTAGGAACACTAAAATCACTTTAAAATAATGTTTCATTCGACTCGGAAATCTAACCCAGGACCTTTTGCCCGCCATTCGCACTTGCAACCATTCGACCAGTAAGGGTTTTGTAAACCTACCCTTCTCGAACTATATTGTACAATTAGATGACCAGGCAAACTATGTACCGGCTCAGATCTTTTTTTCACCTATTTAACCTTCCCTGGACTTCCACGAACATTTCTTCGTGGCCAAAATAAGCCAAATCGGTTCAGTCGTTCTCGAGATTTAGCGAAACTAACGAACGGAAATACATTTTTATTTACCTACTAACGACCCGCCACGGCTTAACACCGGTGCAATATGCATGTATTATAAATTAAAACCTTCCTTAAGAATCACTTTATCTATTAAAAAAACCGCATCAAAATCCGTTGCGTAGTTTTAAAGAGCTAAGCATACATAGGGACAGACAGGCGGCGGATAATGACTTTGTTTTATACTATGTAATGATAATGATATAGATTACATGTGCTTATCTAGAAATATCTAAACAAACACTACACTAACCTTCTCCAACAAAGACTTATGCAAACAAAATTACTTAGAACTTGGATTAATATTTGACGTCATTAAATACATATAAATTGTGCAATTCCTAGAGAATGCAGTCCTTGGTGGAACCTTCGACATCATTTATACAATATTCTACAAGTATTGCAGCAAAAAGATAAAGCTTGGCGATGCATTATGAAAATGAACGATGCGACTTGTAGACAAATATATTGCTGGATAAACATAGCCTTCGGTTCGAAGGTGAATTTGCAGGTTATAGGTACATAGGGACCTATGTATAGAATTGTAAACCAAGCTTAACTCTTTGAGTACCGTCATTATAGACACAATTAATATGTTGCAGTCACCGGTGACCGCGCGGTGTTTGACAGTTTAATTTGTTTTTATAAAGGATTTCTTTTAAACGTTGCCCTACCTCATAGGATTGTCTCCTGTGTCGTGGTTGCGTTTACAAACATACAATTTCACATGCACATCACACCCAGACCCGAAACAATTTGTGGATCATACAAAGAATTGTCCGTGCAGGAATCGATCCCGCGACACGTTACACTGCAGCCAGTTCCCCATCCACCGCGCCAACCGAGCAGTTGAGTCAACAGTCAGTATTTAAACAGTTTGAGTGATAAACAGAAGTACTTAGGTACGATTGACGGGGTCGTATGTTAGGCTAGTGTTTTGATGGTAAATAGAGAATGACGACTTCTGTCCTCAATAGGTAGCGATAAAGTTTAGAATAAAATCCATTTAATATAGGGTGAACCTATTGCTAGTAGAATGGGTGCAACTTCAGACTCCGTGCATATTATCTGAGAAGTTTTCTAAAAATTGATAACACTGGAATTGGTAATACTTTTCTAGACCTGATAATGTGGAGTCGCGGAAGACTTAGGTATCGCGGAAGACTTAACGGGTTGCCGGGGCTCGAAGTGCAGGAGTAGGAACGGGGTGGTTTTTAGTCAGTAAGAGTCTGACACTTCCCGTCGCCTCATCCGGACGGCAGAAGCCATTCGATGATTTCCCCCCCTCAAAAACGGCCCAGAAATATAACCCAGACCAGCGAACAAGGCGATGAGTGAAAATTCATTTTCATAAATTGGTAAATAATAATATTCCAACAACCATAGTCCGGTACCTATGTCCATACATACATTCTTACAAACTTATGAATAATGTATGAATTAATTTGAAGCGGCAATCAACAATAATAATTTCATGTGGGCGTGCCATGTTTACATTGAGTAAACATTTATTTATTTATTGATTCATAAATGAAAGAGGGTTTGTGATAATCGATTTATTTTAATATGTAGTAGGCACGCCCACAGAGGTTAGTTCTAAGAAGTGTTAATATTATGACGTATATAATAACCTCCTTTTTTCGAAGTCAGTTAAAAATAACGTTTACACGTTTCTTTTTTTGGTGTTAGATAGGATTTTCTCCTGTGGCGTGGGTGCGTTTACAAACAAGTTCATATACACATAACACACAACATCATGCCTTTTATCCCCGAAAAGGTAGGCAGAGGTGCACATTACGTCACTCACTTAACCTTTTGAACGCCAGAGCAAAAACGCATGAACTTGCCCTCAACGCCAGGCCACAAATTCACCGCAAATACCTACGAAAAAAATAGGGATTCCAAAACTTCATCGATAATCAATTTTATTTTCATTTTCGTCTTTAATTTCGAAATATAATGTCCTTATAACATTGAAATTTAATTCAAAATTACATTTCTTCCTATTAAAGTAATAGTTATACACTATTTACAGACTTGTATAATACCGTAATAACAGATATGAGACTACAATATATTTAAATATAATAACTGTAGGTACAACACTATTCTTGATCTGCTGTCTTCATATTGTGACCATGGCGTGGACGGCCCGCCATTTTAATAACTACTTCGCTTCCGAAATAAGGATGTGGCAACGTAATATCTCGTTTATCGATGTTCTAGTACAATATTATTTTATAATAAATGAAACACGTTTTTTAAATCAGATTTATAATTCCGAATGTAACAGGTACTTAAGAAGGTAAATAAAAACTATGAAAAAATAGAAAATTTTAATAAAATGTTATACAGTATGTACTATGTATACATGTTTTTAAATATTAAGTTCTATAAACCTGGCATAAAAAGTAACAAATTAAAACAATTAACGATTATATATAATTATCACAATTACCGATCAGTCTTATACTAATAAATCTTTGAATAATAGAACAAAATTATACAAAATCTACAATGCAACCTGCATTCTGATCATCTAATTCGCTGGGTGCAAAGTGGGTGGTGGGGACAGTGAAATCGATCTCAGCGCGCACCGTGGCTAAAAAAGGAACTTTTGGCAGACTTTATTCCACGAAGTTATAGGTAAATATGGAGCCCACACTTAGAATAAAAGTTTCGAGTCAAATACTCTCGCTCCTATTCTCTGAGGCAAACTGAGGTCTGATCTCTTTTTCTAGTGTACTACAGAAATTGAAACAAACTGACCTCAGACAGTAGAAGAGAAATAAAAATTCAAGTAGGTATTTCAAGTGTGTACTGTGTACTCCATCTTTACCTACACCTTTATGCTTTAGTCACTGCTTACTCCTCGTAAAGACAATGACAGTCAACTATTTGACGTACCAAGGTCCGCCGAGTCCGCCGACCGCTAGTTGGCGCTGTCATCGCGCACCCAGCGAATAGTAAGCCATGTGTTATCAGGCATAAAAAAGTAACAAATTAAAACAATTAACCATTATATATAATTTATTTATTTTATATTTATATATATATTAGTCATTAAATTTCCACTCATTATAATAGTCACTTAATATAAATCTTGAACTCGATATCACAAGTAAATTAATCATAAATATAATTCATTCACTTCACTAATTTCTGGTCGCCGCGCTTGTGACGTCACGATATTGTCGTCTAGTCGTGACCATGGCGTACAGGGTACTGATAATTCGGGTTGCGTTAGGGATGCGCTTGAGTTGGGATTAGTGAATATCGAAATTCGACCCAACCAAATTTTATTTTTGACTATGTAGCTTATTGAATGATTTTTAAGACTGGTTTTATAAAATTAATGCTGCTTTATCCTAGTACCAAATTATACCTAAAATAATATATTCCAGAGGAAAGTTTCGAATCGATCTTTGATTTGAAATAATGATATTATCCAACATGCGCTACATCACTAGCGGTCACGCAGTTATGACTCTGGCGTGTGAGGACATTCTTTTTTCAGAGTTTATTTCTTTCTTTTTAACGTACAATTTCTCAATATTTATAATGCAATTTAATTAGTTTTATGGAAATAAATAAATTTTGGACCTTCTATTTTACAGGTATATAAATAAATAGGCATTTAAGTAATGTTTCAATAGTTTATTTCGTGTTTTAATGTACCGCTGTTTTTGTCACATATTTGTGTCGTTGGCGCTCAGGGACAGTTTTCGCTTGTCACGTATTTGTGACCCTGGCGCTCAAAAGGTTAATGCCACTGTACAATGTTACACCCACTTGTCACTATTTTATGTTATGAGTCCCATAGTGGTCCCATGTTATAAGGGGTGAGCCTATTGCCATATACCGGGCACAATTCCAGACTGATAATTTTTTTAACAACCTGTGGCCGACCCGGGTATCGAACCCGAGACCCCTTGCCCGGCAGTCGCACTTGCGAACACTCGGCCAACAAGGCAGTCGGCACTTCACATACACATGACATCCAAACCCGAAACAACAATTTGTGGTTCACACAAATAATATATTTCATGCGGAAATCGAACCCGCTACACATTGTGTGGCAGCTGGTTGCCCAGCCACTCGCCAATCATGCAGTCAACTGCACAACAAAACTGAAATATACCATACATACATAATATACAAACGTAATATTTTTTTTATTTACACTTTATTGTACACCATAACACATACATAGAAAATAAACATAAAAGAATGTGTACAATGGGCGGTCTTATCGCAGAATGCGATTTCTTCCAGACAACCTTTGGATGGAGCCAGTATTCAGGAGTTGGAAATAGGGGGTCGTCTAGTGTACAATAATTAAAACAATACATACAATATAATACTATCTATACCTACATACCAAATAAATAATATATAAAATTAAAATAGATTATATAACTACTATACATAAGTGAGTGTGTGTGTAGATGTGTCTGTGTGTGCACGCGCGCGTGTGTGAGTGTGTGTGTGTGTGTGTGTGTTTATGTGTTTCCATGCTAGGTAGGAATTTTTAAAAACAATGACTAAAGAGAGAGGTAATGTTCTTTAACTAGATTTTTAAACTGAGGTAGAGTTTGAGCACGCCTCACCTTAATCGGCAAGGCATTCCACAACCGAGCCGCTTTAATAGGAATTACCAAAAAAGGAAGTGGAGTGCAAACTAATATTTAAATTAAGATTGTCTGATGATCTCAATAACCTTGTATGTGTGTCACCAAGGAATTGAATTATGAGTGAGGAAGTAATAATGAGTTCATACTTTTTACTCCCCGGCCGAAGCAGTACTGACTCTATCAGCTGCTATAATTGGAATGACAATACCCTGTCGGTATAAAAATTAAAAATACTAGTCCGTAAGTTAGGTAATGAATGATGATGATGATAATGAAAACGAATAAAGTTAGGAGTGGGGGCTAAAACGTCATTTCTACGTATGAATTGTACATAGAAGTGACGTCACGCGACATTTCAAATCAATATATCGTCAAAAGTATTCGTTTCTGTAAGAAAACAGAAAATACGTGTCTAATGATGTAAAATAATCTACCAGATGGACATTAAAATAAAGATTAGGCATCTACCATGAGTTCCATGTAAAAGGGGGCTACCCTATTGTGATATAGGTACGGAGTACCGAGTATAATTGCACACCATACCTTTTTTTTAAACGCGCCTAGCTTATTGTAGATAAAGATTAGCGAGTGTTGGATTTTTACCTGACTAAAACTACCGCACCGGGCACCGGCACTGGATCCTCACAGTAGACCAGCCCCGGATCATTATTCACCCTGTACCTACTATTACTGGTATTTTCAAAAAGTCATTAGGTAATACAATGGTAGGTACTAATTTACTATTTTTAAGCCGAAAAGTCATTTGCGTCCGCTAGACTTTCGAAACCACCTTGCACACACAGACAGCTCTAAATATTTGTTTTTAAATAACAGAGTTTAATAATATTCCGTTGAGATTTCACGTTACGCATGTAGAATAATAATAAAACAATTACATAAGTTATCAATCATTGTAATTCCCCACAGTTACTGATGGTGATCTTGCTGGATACTGCCCCAGTCTTATTGCCATATTTCTCCATTTTCTTAACTACGTCCAATCCTGATATCACATGACCAAACACCACGTGTTTGCCGTCCAGCCAGTCCGTTCTGGAACAAAAATTAAATAATAAAATCTCTTTTCTTGCATTCATTATTTTTCATTGTTTAGTGCCTAAGTACCAACATAGATGGCACTGTCCACCAAAATGATACATCATTTCAATGTATATGTATAAAAAACTGGTAACATCATTTATTTCAAATATAATGGTTATTTATGCTATCAAAAATATAGTTGCCAAGACTAAGTATTTCGATTAATTCAGCAAAAAACGTAAGAAGTAATTTTTATAAAGTAACTATCACTTGTGACCACAAGATGGCATTGTTCTCAATAACACAATAAAACAAAATCTACAAGAAATAAATAAATAAAAACAAAATACATACTTTGTAGTACATAAAAAGAACTGTGATCCATTGCTATTAGGTCCTGAATTCGCCATACTCAGTATACCGGGTCCTGTGTGGCGTAATGTAAAGTTTTCATCGTCAAACTTCCTCCCGTATATTGACTTCCCGCCCGTCCCATTATGATTCGTAAAGTCGCCGCCTTGACACATCTAGTTATTGTTAGTTAGGGATAATATTGAATATTTACATACTACATTTATTATATTTATACCTATACGATATGCTCAGTGGTAGCACGGAGACTGGAATTGTGCCTAGTGCCCAATAGGCTCACCCCCTATTACATGGGACTCGATAACAGAAATAGTGAAAAGTGGGTGTTACATTGTACAGTGGCATTATGTACACGTCTGCCTACCCCTTCGGGGATAAAAGGCGTGATAGTATGTGTACTACGACAATTGTTACAATTGTTACTACGACCAGTTTGTTATAAACTTATGTTTTACCTTACAATTATTTTATTTGAATTAACATCAATCAATATCTAGAAAACCTAAGCATTATGTGTGTTACAACCATAATTTTAAATTGTATTTCAAAATTCTTAATAATTGTATAACATTTTCCTGTAAATCACACTAATTATGCGGAAATCAATAAAGATTTCTCAATCAACTCCATCCAAGCTGCAAGAAAAAAAAATTCATATCAAAAAGGATACAAAATCGGGAATAATCCTGTGAAAACTGCTCCCCTGGTACCCGAAACCTTTCTCATGCGTGCACAGAGCTCGAAAATTCTCCGCAGTCTTCGGCACTATGTCTGCTCTGAGCATCATGATAATTCTGCCCAAAGATTGCTTGCCCACACTTATATCAAAGTACACTTGTGGGTTACGCTTCTCCATCGGTTTTGACGGTGCCTGAAAGCAATTAAGAATACAATAATTATTATCTGTTATACTATAGAAGTATATCTACTATATAAAAATAAGTCGGGTTTTCCTTCCTGACGCTATAACTCCTGAACGAACAAACCGATTTCCACGGTTTTGCATTCGTTAGAAAGGTGTCCGCCTCCGTGAGGTTTAAGCAGTTAAGAATACAATAATTATTTATTATCTGTTATAACATAGAAGTATATGCTGTATAATTAAAAAAAAAATATTTAAAAGGATAATTGTTCATAGATATGAATCCTCTGAGCCACAATTACTTGCATAGGATGTTGAAGTTCTGGGGATACAAACTTGATGAGCCATTTTTTAAAGAATTTCTTCATCAAATGTATCAGCTTATTATATTTTTAAATATATCAGGTAAATGTATGTACTGTAAACTATATTGTCAGTCAGACAATGACTTTATGGTTTACCCAAGACCAACTGGATAGTATGATTGTGTCAAAAATTATTTTACATTACATATATGTATGTATTATGATGTATGTATGATTGTATGTATGTACTACCTAATCCTATGCGGTTTAATCCTCTCTGCTGCGCTCCTATTATGTTTTATAAGTATCCTCGATAAATTATATCTAACACGGAAATAATTATTCAATTTGAAACAGTAGTTAGAGATTACTGTGTTCAAACAAATAAACTCTTCAACTTCATAATAGTAAGTATAAGATTACATAAAATATATCTACTCATACCATTACTAATACCATTTGTTACCTAACACCAAAATTAACTCAAAAATCTTTACCACAGACTAGTAGAAAACTCTTAGTTGTTAAACTTGGCAAAACCTTTTTATTGGATTCCTCTTTGCGGCTAAATTCAATACTTATGCATGCAAAAAAAAGATTTAAAAATGGAACTTACATTAGAATTCTCTGTATTCTCTTTAGTTCCCTCCTCTTTATTTTCTTTATCTTTATTATTGTCTTTGGACACTGGTAATGTTTCACCAGCATATTTCTGCAACCATGAGTCTTCAGACCACACCGGTCGAGTAGAACCTTCTTTGATACGCTGTGGAGCTGCTATGTTCACTCTGATCGTTCGACCAAAGAGTTCTGAGTCATTCTGTAATGTTTTATAAAAAGAGTTAGGTTATGTTGATAGAAAACTTGTTATGAACTAAGTATTTTGTACTTTTAATCCATGTTGGAAATCATAATAATATAGTAAGTTTATAAGACTTGGTAATAAGTCAATAGTGATTTTTACGCTGCAATTAAAAAAGAAAACAAACAAATTTACAGCGTAAGTAAATTGTTTTCCTTTGCTAATTTAAGTATTTATGACAAAAAAACTTTACGTACCATATTGTCTATAGCCGCGGCAGCATCTTCTGCATTCTCAAATTCGATAAATGCAAAGCCCCTATGCTTTTCAGTCTCATAATCTAAAGGTATTTGAACGTCTACTAAATCTCCGAACGGTACGAACGCCGCATTCAATACCTTCTCGTCTACCTCTTCTGCCAGCCCTCCAACGTAAATAGTACGCTTAGAATTAGGTTTACTAGACATTCTTACTAGAAAATATAATTTCACCGTTAAAAATATTTATATTTTTGCTGTTTGTTTATAAAATAACCTCCAAAATATGCGCCAATCAAAACTTGAAAGTTGACAGTTGACACAGTTTTGACAATTCATTTGTGATGTTACAAATACCGATGTTGCAAGTTAAAGTTACAAGTTTTAAAAAACAGAACAAAATAAGCTTTTATTTTTCATTCTTAATGCCAATACCTAAGTCAAGTTCCCATGTCTTGTGAAATAATAGAATGAAGAAGACTGCATAATTTAGCTTGGTGGCTTTTCTAAGCATTCCTAATAATAAAGTAGAAAAATGTCCTGTAACGAAAACAAAAATTACACATATAACAAAAAATTAATATTCAAGTACACTGAAATCACCTGCAACCGTGACCTTTTATCTTGATGCTTAAAAGCTAAAATAGTTTTTATCTTAGAAATTGTGAACAATTATTTGTTAGTCCATAAATTGCTGGAACATAAATCTTACGACTTTAACAGGCTCGTGAAACTATAAAAATGAACAAACGCAACTTGATTTTAATTAATAATAAAACCTTGTACACGATATTGAACAAAATAAAATACTGACATAATGGTTCTCAGCCAGTTAGCTTTGAAATGGCTTTGAAGTACGAAAATTATAAAGAAATCAACAGCAACAAGCTATTTTTAAGCATCAATACTGTCAACGTGCAATCAGAAACTAGTTATCTAGTTAGTTGTAAATAAAATACAGCCACATATGTGTAGCAAATCCAGCCTCTTGCGTTAACTAACAAGTTTAGACGTGGACATTGCACTCAAACGTCCAGTAATACTATCGGAACTGTCGTCAATTAGCATAGAAAACTTTTGTTTTGTACCTTCATGGCTACTGTTAATATTGTTATTTATGATCATACGTTTTTATAAAGGGTTATTTAGAAGTTAGCGTACAACAGATATTTTTCATGGGTGCTTTTGGATGACTTCGATCGCGTTCCCGTTTTATAAAAAATAGCCTACAACTACATGTTATTCCAAACCATAATTTATTATCTACTCCTGTTCCAAATTTCACTACGATCCCTTCAGACGTTTTAATGTGAAGGATGTAACAAACAGATTAAAAAAATTGTAGAAATTAGGTGCCTATCGGTAATGACTGGTAACATTATTTAGAATTCATTATTCAGTTGCCCAACTTCGTGATATTAAGTACTTACTAAGTAATAATGTACTGATTTAAAAAACATGCTTTGACTGGTTTTTTTTTAAGGGGGAAAATCATCGAATGACTGCTCCCGCCTGGGTGAGGCGGAAGGGAGTGTCAGACTCTTACTGACTAAAAACCACCCCGTTCCTTCTGCTGCACGTCGAGCCGAAGCCCCGGTTACCCGTTAGGTTCTCCGCTACTTTTGACTGATTAAGAAACGAGAGACGACAGCAGTCCATGAGTCAATAAACCAGTGGATCAAGCGTGGACTCCGATAAGAACGAGGCCATCAATAGAGTGAAGTTTTCGCACTATGTTAAATATTTGAATTAATACTCGATTTAAAGTATCACAAGTTCATAAGAAATTAATGTGACTTTCGCATGTCGATATATCATAACTCTTCGCTTACAATGTTAGCAGAGTAGTCGAGCAGGAGTTGTAGTCCCGTCCTCGTATTTTATAAGAAAGTGGATAGATTTTTTTGTTTGTTTTTTATAATACTTTTTAATACGTTTTTCTATGAAAGTTCTGCTCCGGTTTGAATAATTCTTTTTGCATCTGAAAGTTTTATTTTTGTGGAAGAAAGAAGGTTACGAAGTGTCATGAATATGAAAGTCATAGCTGTAGGTATCTAGCAAAGAGTATAATGAGTATAGGATTTTTTTAGGGGGAAAAGCATCCAATGACTTCTCCCGCAAGGGTGAGGCGAGAGAGTGTCAGACTTAACTGACTCAAAACCATCACTTTCCTACTCTTGCACTTTAAGCCGGAGCCCCGGCAACCTGTTAAGCCCCCAGGATGCGTTTACATTATAGGGACTAATTATTTTCAGAGTTAGCATAGATATAATAAAGATGTTTTGATATTTCTGTCGTTATTAGTCATCATTAGTCTAGCATAAGTGGTCATAAGCAGGCATGCCTGATATTGTGCACATGTATACAATCTGAGGATCGAACATGTTCAGATCACACATGTGTAGGTGGATAAGTAGGTACCTACCTATCAAATTAATTATTTATTTGTTATCTACCTACCTATTAGCTTTTTTAATTCTTATAATTCCTCCATAACATTCTTGTGATTCATGGAGTGTAGAATGTCATAATGATCTATGGGTCCGCCCCTTACTACTAGATACATGTTTATTATTTTTATTTTTTTATATTGGCATACACTATTGCATTAGGTATTAGTTCCTGTAATGATAGTAGTATGTATATAGTTTATAAATAAATAAATAACTGACTGGCAAATGAATGGAAGAATCAATAACTAAATCAATCAATGTAGAACGTTAGTTTATTTAATTATATAGTGAGGAACGAATACATTGGCTTACATATTCATGACTAGCAGAGTGTCTAGTGCTAGTTTTATTTTTACGTTAAAGCAATCGAAACGTTATCGAATTTAGCCCTCTGATTGGCCGGTTAAGTTGGAGCAGCCAATCAGAGCGCCGAACGTCATAAAACGCATTGCATCGCGTACAAATGACTCGCACTCAGTACTCAGATCGACGACGCATATTTTCAACTACGTCTTGGTGTCGTCCTTCCAATTAAATGCTGAGTCCAGCTAGATATTTCATGTTTAAGATGCCCTGCTGCATTTGGAACTGCGATGTAAAGGGTCTTCGGTTTGAGTACCAAAGTACCTATTATAGAGATTTCGACTTTCGAAACTCTTAGTTATACAGCCTATTATATGGAACTCCTACATCCTTTGAATATGATGTCCTATGTTTACCTATAACATAACATAACATAACATCACGCCTTTTTATCCCCAAAGGGGTAGGCAGAGGTACACATAGAAGTAACACCCACTTTTCACTATTTATGTTATGAGTCCCATGCAATAGGGGGTGAGCCTGTTGCCATATACCGGGCACATTTCCAGACTCCGTGCTACTACTGAGATTTTTTTAAAAAAACCCAGTAATACTTTGCCCGACCCGGGAATCGAACCCGAGACCCCTTGCTCGGCAGTCGCACTTGCGACCACTCGGCCAACGATGTTTTTCGACGGCCAAGAAATTAATAACTAACTTACATTGTTATAGTTACTAACTTACCTATCAAATACTTACCTCAAATACCTACTTACTGCCATTCAAAAATATGCCTTAAAGACAATAATTTCAATGGTGTAACCAATTCAATTCCCTTGTAATCGGGACCATAAAGTACTTGGTAAGTGCATTCAAAGATTACCTACAGTAAGAGCCACAAGCATACCGGTAGCGATTGCTACTGTATGTAAAACAAGCTTCGACACATGGTTTCATGTGCATGTTAGTCAAAAATTATCCGATATTTTTTTTCTGCGATAAGCCGCTATACGAGCAGAGAGATCACCTGATGGTAAGCAATTGCCGCCACCCATGGACACCCCGAAACAACAGAGGTCTTACAAGTGCGTTACCGGCCTTTTGGGGATTAGGAATTTGAGGATTGTTGGTGATTCAGTGATTGGAGATGTTGAGGAGGTAGGTAATTGGACCTCCCGTAACCCCACTCACACGACGCAACACATCGCAAGCGTTGATGCTCATCGGTTTTCTTTAAGGCCGTGTTATCACTCCGGTCGAGGCGGCCCATTCGCGCCGAAGCATGGCTCTCCCACACTCAAACTAGTAGGGACGCTATGTAAATCATCAACAACAACAACAAATTGTGACAATACAATTCTGGACTATAGACCTTCTGTACATAAAATTGATTCACCATAGTCCCCACGCATAGAAGGTCGGTTGAAAATGTTTCAAGCCTGATGTTTCTTTTTTTAAATATCAGCCTATTTTACTCACTTGCTAATGGTAAAAGAATTTTTAAAATCAGTCCAGCAGTTTCAGATCCTTTTCGATACATACGAACCAACAAATAAGAGGTTGAGATATAATATTAAGAGCGAGGCCAACTAGGAAGATTGAATACATATTACTGGTACTTGATCGTGATTTGTACTAATGTACCTTAATGAAAGATTTAGTATATTACGATTGAGTTTATTTAATCTTGTTATCGATGTAAACGGTTTGTTGAACTGTTCCAGGCAACATCGGGACTCTTGCTGGAAGTAACTAAATGATTTACATCATAACATCACGCCCTTTTATCCCCGAAGGGGTAGGCAGAGGTGCACATTTTGGCACTTAATGGCACTGTACAATGTAACACCCACTTTTCACTATTTATGTTATGGTTATGAGTTCCATGTAATGATTTCATCATCAACAGCCTATAAATGCCCACTGCTGAGCAAAGCCTCTTCTCACACGGAGAAGGTCATGTAATGATTTAGTTGGTACGAATAGCCTACGACCATACAAGTTAGTCGTTCTAAAATCTACAATAATAAAAGTCAGTTGTCAAGCCGCATCTACAATTTGTAAATTCGAAAAAAACTGTGTTGGAGTCAAACCTAGCGTCATAGTAAAGTGAATAACTTTTTTTATGGAATAAGCCGGTAAACGAGCTGACGGATCACCTGGTGGTAAGCAATCGGCGGCGCCCATGGACACCTGGAACACTAGAGGCATTACTAGTGCATTACCGGTCTTTTTGAGGATTAGCAATTTAAGGATTGTTGAGGATTCAGAGATTGGGGTAATAGGGCCTCCGGTAACCTTATTCTTAGAACGAAATAAAACGCAAGCGTTGTTTCACGTCGGTTTTCATGTCTTTCGCACACTTAAAACTTTAAGTATTATCTGACATCAAGACTCTGACAGAAAGACAGTCTTTGATGGAAAAGTTATTATTAATTTTAATAAACGCCGCAA